TGCTCTAGATGTAGCTCACCAGCTGAGTCCAGAAGATGTCCATCCATGGGCTCCAGCCTCCAACCTCAGAGCCCCAGAGGGATCTCCCTGCTGATGTGAGCTGGGAGAGACCACCATCAGCACGGAGCCTGAGAACGCAGCCCCAGCTACTCAGGAGAGAGCCCATGTGGTGTCATCAAAGTACATCTATGGGCCAGTCAGGGCTGCCGTGCAAAACCTCCCGCTTCTAGTCTACCAGTCAGCCTTGTCCCAGGAACAGCAGTGGCTGGACAAGCAGGAAAGGTGACCTTGAACTAGAGGGGCAATGTTCCTCAGCCTAGTCGGGGTGGGGGTGGGGAAACAGAGACAGAAGCACAAGCCCTGAGTATGACCCCTGGCAGGTCACATGGCCTTTCTGCTTCACATTCCTGTAAAGTAGGGCTATCAAGCCCATCTGACAGCATGGTTGATCATAAAATGACAACATATTTGTGTCTGTGCTATGCTGACTACAACATGTTAATCAGCAGGAGATGCCATTCATGACAGTGACAGAGGACAGGGTCACTGCTGAGATTCAGAACTTGAGCAGAGGTGAGGTGGCTTTCTCTCTGTGCAAAGCAGATGCTGCACACTCACAGGAGCCACCAGGATGGCCATTGGGGCTGAGGTCCATCATGGGGGGAGCAGCTGACCTTGTTGGCTATTGTGCCCCCCCAGAGGTCCTCCTACAGAAGTGTCAGGGGGCAGCCAACCTCCTGGGCTGGCCCCTGTTCTTGGAGCTGCATCCACCCCAAAGGCCTTCCACGGGCAGATGGCCTACCAGGAACACTGGAACCAGATGTACTCAAGATCTCAAAAGAAATTAATGGCAATAAGACTCTGGGGTAAAAATATCTGCGTGCGCTGAGCTTGCTCACTGGGCTCCTTTCTATCCAAGGATCATTTAGGCTTAATTATAGAGTTCAGGCGTTCATTGGGTTTTTGATTAATTTTCTTTTCAGCTTGAAGTGTGTGTGAGTGTAATGGGTCTGCGTGTGTGTGTTTACATCTTTCTTTGCAACTCAGTCGGGAGCTGGCTCTGGCAATGTTTAATTGTGCCCTGAGTCCTAACGAGAACGTTCCATGTGCCAACCGGAGCTAGGAAAGTCATTGTTCCCTCCACCCCCCACCCCCCACCCCGCAGGCTGCTCCAGGCTTGCTCAGGGACAGCCGTGCAGGGCCTTGCTCAGCTCAGCTGGGACTCAGCTGCGGGGTGCATGCTTTCCTCCCCCTTTGTGCCAATGGTGTTTAAGGGAATCTGAGACCAGGAGAGCAGATTTCAACTCTGCTAATTACCAGCCCTGTGCTAAGAGCTGCCGGGTGACAGCCAGCTCACCCACACTGTGGGCCCTGACAGGCATTTTTCTGGGCCAATCTCCCTGGGGATTACAAGGTTCTCAGCCTAAGAAGACAGTGTTCATTCTCTTATTTCTAATATGTCTGCTTAGTAGATTGGTCGGGACTACAATGACTGTAGATTGAAAGTGGCTTTCATCCTCCTTTCCTTCCACTCCCTTTTGTACCTTCTAGGCTGAGGAGCATGGAGGCAGCCTGGTACAGCGTGACGGCAGGGGGTTCTGAGCCAGAGGTGCGGCTTGAATCCTGCCCCTGGCTCCTGATATTTTCTGTTTGCGCGCTTATGGCTAAATCACTGAACCCCTTTGGATCTCAATCTATTGTCTGTCAAATGGGGAGAATAAGGATAATGTCAGTAGCAATAGTGCACTCCTTAGAATACTGACCGGAGATGAGAAAAAGCATGTGGAAACCTTTTGTGAAAAATAATAGTTTTTTGCTTTTGCAGCTCAGAATGGCTGCCTAGAATGCAATTTTGACCTATGACATATTCCTAGTACCAGGGGAGAGGGAGTGGTAAAAAGGCCCTAGGCATAGAGATGCAGCTGAGTGGAGAGTAGACTCCAAACTCCCCACATGCTGTCAACCAATGGCGAGCGCACACTGCAAAGAGCCCAGGCCAAGAGTTCAACCTCAAAACAACTGTCACAGTAAAAGTGAACCTGGAGCATCCACCTTTTGACGATTAGAGATGCCCCTACTCTTTAAAGAGTGGACTCTGTCATCTCCAGTGGGGAGAGTTCAGCAATGGTCACGACGTTTTGGCTGGAGATAAGGCGAGAACGAGGGTCTCAGGGAAGCATGACCATGCTGTGCCGTATGACTTGGGGGGTTTGGGTGGCTCTGACAGCCATTACATCTGTGATTCTACACAGAGGAGCTATTTTAACTGGACCTCAGATTGTGAACTATAAAAGATCTCAAAAGTGACTAAAGAATGTATGTGCTGATGAAATGCTTTTCCATACAGGGAACAACTGTTATGCTACCTAGAAACACTGTGTGTGTGTATGTTAGAGTCTAAATCCAGTGAGTGCAAAAAGACCACACAACTAAAACTTATAACAGAATGGTATCAGACCCAGGGTCTCCAGGGGAAGACAGACCAAATAGGAGGATGGGAGATTTCAAGGTCAGTTTTCTCATGTTGGGGGGAGGGGGAGCCTTTCACTTGGTAATATCCTAAGCTGAAAGGTAATACTCTAAAGGATCACTGAAACAACTATAACTTTAAAAAATAACCAAATCTGCAGGGCAAGTGATCATCTATCAGCTGATTTCAGAATTGAGAGGCCAGCTGTTAAGTTCACAATAGCATCATGGCTATTAATCACAATGTATATTTGCATAGCACTTTGCTTTCATTTTGCCATTATATAATTTCCGAGAAACCTGGGAATGATTTCTTTTAAAATGCCAAAAAGTGTGAGTTTTCAGCAGGAACAAGTCTAGGCTAAGTGTGTTGAGCCATTTTTTTTTTTTTTTTATAAATATAGACTTGAAAAAGTTGTGCTATAGGTAATTATAAATCACATTTTAAGGGGCTGGGGCAATTTGCAGACAGAAATCATGTATAGGATTTTGTGATATAAATAATCCTAGCTCATTAATTTGGTACAAGTCTGATTTTTAAATGTCAATTTTCTTCAAGTTGGGCCACATCGTCTAGATTTCAGGGTCAGTATTCCCACTCCAGAATTTCTTAAGGGTGGCATCTAAATCAATCTGAGGGAGAGATTGCTATTTCTGATGTCAGCATACAAAATGAGTAGCTTGATATTTCAGCCCTGGGACTACCTCTGAAAAGAAAAAAGGAAAAAGCAAGCTTGGGACAGAGGAATCTAAATGTAACAGCTGAATTCTTCTAAATGGAATGTCTCCAGGTCTTCTGTGAGTCACTGATGTGTCATTAATGTGTTGTTATAAATAGCTTCACTTGCCATCAATAACTAATCTATAGGAGAGTAGCTGGGGTGTGAAGTTAACACTACATAATTTGAAGGGGGTCTGTTAACCCCCTCATGGAAATAAACTTCACCCCCTGGGATTAGAGCTTATAAGAAATTAAACTAAATCATATTTTTAATAAAAGCAATAAATGTGCCCTCCTCCTGCTTTTCCTTCTCCATCCTCACACTCTGCTGGAAGACAGAACTTTGGATTCAGCCATGAATGATAATAATTGCTCTGAACTTTAACTCTCTCACCTTTGAAATTAGGCTGGCAGCATCCACCTAAGAAATCCACAGTGCCATTGTGAGAGTTTCACAATTATTTTAAATGGGGGTGTTGAATATGGAATTATATATATATATATCACATTTGCATAATTGAGGACAAAAGGAAAATTACTTTTTGGGTGATTCAGCTGAAAGAGCTAGAAAATCCCTTATTAGAAAGACTGGAAACTCTTAAAAGTTTTATATCAGTCTGACTGAAGGAAATATAGTCTTAGTTTTATTGGTTGGATCTCAGCAACTCAGGATTGCTTAATGATTTGCCTTAAAAAAGCTATGAACTGGCCCTCCCTGGTGGCGCAGCGGGTTAAAGCACAGCACTGAGAATCTAAAGCCGCTTCCACATGAGTTCGATTCCCGCCTGCCCCGGAGGTGACCACATGGCGTGGCAGACCTCTCCTGGCCCGCCCGCTGCTCCCCTCTGCAGTGTACTTCGTCGATCTGCCTGTTCTGCTCCCCGCTCTGTCTCTGGTGAATCCTCTCACCCTCCGCATCTCTGGCCTGTACCCCAGTTCTGTATGCACAAATAAATAAATCTTAAAAAAAAAAAAAAAGCTATTAACTTATAAAGTACTTTTTCCACAAATGCTCAGTTAAAGCTGAGCTTCTGTGAAATTGACCTAAAATAAACATGTATAGCTATGTGTATAAATACAGCCCAAACAGACATAAAGCATAAAGGCTACAAGAACATATGGAGGCAGTGTTGGCAAGCTTGCTAGTGGTTAGCTACACGCACTGTGGCATGTGCCTGCATACATGTGTCACCCTGGGCCCAAATCACTCAGAAACGTAAAAAGAAAAGAATGGACATACTCTTATTTGTTGAAATGTTCCCCTGTATCGATTCATGGCTTAAAAACAAGTATCATTTTGTAAATTTAGGGCTGGTAATGGGAACAGAATAAGCGGCTGTAAACAAAACCAAAATTGGGTTTCAGTGAAAACATGAAGGCCCCGAAGTAGCATTGCTTACTGCAGAACATAGGAACTATCCGTCGAGGTGCTATGCTTAAGGATATTCTGAATAAGCAACTTTTGGAGAGGGGCGGGTGGATGGAACCATTGACAGTTCCCATTGGCTAGTTCTCATCAGCACCTTGGACAGTCCTCTGGAGGGTCCTGCTCAGAATGGACCAAATACCAACATGTCTCCAGCTTTCTCAGGATGCCCTTCATCTCGGGGAGCATGCTGACGCTCTGGTTATCATCTAACAATGCACAGGAATTGCTTTGTAATAACAATTTGTTTCTTCCTCTGCCCCCAGCCCATTCTCATCACCACCTGACTTCCACCCCTTGCCCCAGCACCCACCCAAAGGGACTGTCTTACAAACGCCTGGTGCGGATGTTTTCACTCCCATTCTAAATGGTTGGGAAGCAGCGTTTGCCACAGGCACTGTTTAATTTCTTTTCCATCCCCTGCATCTCACAGGAAAGAAATGGTCAATAGTTCAGATAAAAGAATCATCGTGGTCAGCTCCAAAATATGGCTACTTGCATGGTAATCGCGGCAAGTCTGTCAAATCAGTGATCTTTATTCCTAAAAGGCAGGGATTTTCCCCTAAGGATTATGGTTCTACCACCCCAAGGAGCAGCCCTGCTCTTCACAAGTGGCTGCAAAGGCTGGCAAACCGAGAGGTCTGCTTTGGCTCAGAAACTCAGTTTGGCTCCTGGCACCCCTGGCAACCTCCCTGGGTGTCTCAGCGGCATCTGCTTCACGCACAGTCAGGCTGGTCCGCTGCTACTTAGGAGGGATCACAACCAGCGGTGGCCCCCGCTTGGGCCTCCACATGAGGACCTGGGCATCGTTGGCATTGGGTTTCACTAGTGCGTTGGGGGGGATGGGCTCCATCCGGCTCAGGATCCGGGGCTGCTCCTGTTGAGTCCTGCCCACCAGCCGGGCCCGCTGTCCCAAGAGCTGAAGAGGGTCCACTTCAATGTCCACTCTCATTCTCCACTTGATGGTCTGCAGGATGATCTTCTCCTTTGTGGTGGTGTTCATGGCCACTAGCCAGGTGGTGAAACTCTGGTCCCTCTTGATCCTCGTGAGCAGCGGCACGTTGCTGTCACTCACCGGCACTGCCCACGTCACACTGGGGTAGAAGTTGTCATTCATGCTGACAGAGAACCTGGAGATCTTGTTGGTAGGGCCAACCAAGGTCACAGTTTCTGTGGTGTTCCCGTACCACGGGTAGCTCACCCCATCGGAGTCACTGATGGCTTTTACTCGCCCTTCCCTCAAGTCAGGCAGTTCCCAGCTTGACCTGGCAAAGCAGAAGACATACACAAGAAAAGAAGCTAAATGAATCTTTCAAAAGCTGGAAAGGTGCCGCTGCTTTACTAGAACATCATTCATTTGGGCCAACTGGGATGTTCAGAGGGGAATTCAGCCCCAAAAGTTCTTTGCTGTGAGGTTTCAGGATATAATAGGAACACAGCAAAACAAAAGTAAAAAAGCAATACCGAAGCAAGTTAAATAATACCACAGCTGGTCAACTTGAAGTAAGAAGCTCAAGAGGTGCTGTGAGAGCCATAAAGAGCCATCAGCTAGTTGCAGGGGTGGATGGGGGGGTGTAGTTGTAATAGACTGTTTCGTGGCATTGCATTGGAAGGACCACTGGGGCTGCTTTGTTGAGGTGGTGGTTGAAATCTGATGTACTTGGAGGAAAGTATGGAGTGGAAAGGAGGGCACAGGAGACAAAGTTAAAGATCACATTAATTTCCTATGGAATCACAGTAAAATTTCTACTCAAAAACCATTGTTTAAAGTCCAGTCTTTAGCCAATTCAGCACTTATGAGACACGCACATGGAAACTGGTGACACGAGGCGGTGATGGTCACCTCTGGAAACCACCTCGTTGTGCCAGTTGTGCTGAAGGCTGGCGATATGCTGTTCTCTCATTGGCTCTAAGTCCAGCTGGATGTCTAATGGCTTAGTCTGCAAACGTGCCATTCTGGACACCTTCCTACTCCTGGCCACCCCCAATCTTGTACAGAAAAGGGAGGAATAGGATATGTACTCACTTTCAGGCCACATCTCTTTCCAGTCACGACCACTCGGCTCTGCCCCCTCCTCCTTTCCCACCTTCCTCTTCCTTATCCTACCTTCTCCCTTTCTTCTCCATCTCATAGCTGATACTTACTGAGTGCTCATGCTGTTGCAACTTCTGTGCTAAGTGGTTTAATGATACCATCTCACTTAATGTTCAAAATATCTCACAAGATAAACGAATATTTCCATTTTACACACGAGAGGATGGAAGCTCAAAGATGTTAAGGTACATGCTGAAGATGCTACAGATTGTTAAAAATAGAGTGGGGAGATCTCTGATCTCAAAGTCATGCTTTTGACTGCTGTATATACTGTTCCCCACGGGGTCCCCACTGTGCCTTTACCTGGCCCTGGAGAAGTCAGAGGGGAGGGGTCTCAGGCTGTCCACAGAACTGGTGGGGAACTGGACCAGCACCCACAGGGGAAGAAGTTTAGTCAGAATGAGCCTGACTGTGTATTCTCCATGTATTCACTCCTGGGATCAGGAGTACTGCTTGGTAATGTTGCATAGGAACCTAATAACTAAAGAAAGATATGTAACTACTTCACTCATCAGCTAGGAAGTGGTCTTCTTGTGTCATGGATCCCATGGGAAATCCTGCAGCGCACTACATGAATGTTCTAAAAGAGAGTTGCATTATCAGGCTGATGCTATCTCAGCATCCTTTCCCCACCACAAGGGCACAGGGAGTCAGTCAGTAAGGCTGCCTCCCTCTGACCCGAAGAACTCCCTATGCCAGCCAGCCCCAGCTGCAGGGGAGGGAGGGCTGGCAGCCTGGGCAAAGGTGAGTCGACAGCTGCAGGCACTTTTCCTCTTCTCTCCTTGCCCATGGTAACTGCTGGGAATCTTCAGGGATATCGTGGTTGGCAGAATTCAGTATCAGGAACTGACCTACTCAAAGTCTGAGGCAGCCCATGTTGCTGTACATGCTAGCTGAAGCTGTGGCTTCCAGATAATTCCTACTGTACAAAAGCGAGTAAGTGTTACAATGGGATAGAATCACATGAGGTTTAGAGGTCAGGTGAGATTCAACTATTTGTGCTTAGGACATGGCCACACCGGAGTCAGCTTTGTGCCTCTTTGCACTCCTCTGTATCCTTTGTAGGTTCTGCTTCATCTCCTAGCCTACCTTTGGAGGGTCCCAGGCCCCAGTCTTTGGTCAAGTTTTCTCTTCCACCTACTCACATTCCCTGGGTTATTCCATCCAGTCTCGTATAAGGGTTAAGGAGGTTGATAAATTACCATCTACTTTATGTTGATTTCCAGTTGCTGTCCCCAGCCTAGATTGCTCCTCTGAGCCCTAGATCCATATATCAACTGCCGAGCTGCCAAAAACGCTGGTCATTTTTGACCATACTCTCACATTCCACATACCACCTATCAGCAGATCCTACTGATGTCACAAAATATATCTAGAATTCAGCTCCTTCCCACCCCCACCATCCTGGGACAGTCTCTCTGGGATCTTTGCAATAGCCTTATAGCTAGTCTCTTTGCTAATACCTCCACTCTATTGACTAGTCCATTTGTAGCATGGCAATCACAGTGATCAGTTAAAAATGCAAAATCAAATGGGTCATTTGGTGATGGGAAACCCAAGGGGATTACAACTGAGATGGAAAAATGCACAAAAATATGTAAAAATAAATTATGATAAAAAAATGCAAAATCCGGCCCTCCCTGGTGGTGCAGCGGGTTAAAGCACAGCACTAAGAAGCTTAAGCCACTTCTGCATGAGTTCAATCCCCTGCCTGCCCCAGAGGAGATCCACATGGCGAGGCAGACCTCTCCTGACCCGCCTGCTGCTCCCCTCAGCAGTGTACTTCATCGATCTGCCTGTTCTGCTCCCCACTCTGTCTCTGGTGAATCCTCTCACCCTCTGCATCTCTGGCCTGTACCCCAATTCTGTATGAATAAATAAATAAATCTTTAAAAAAAATGCAAAATCCTATCACTCCTCCATTCAAAATGTTTCCATGGTTGCAAACCACGCAGGAAAATCCCAGCCCCTTAAAAGGACCTCTGTGACCCTACATGATCTGGTTCCTTATTTCCTTTTCGACATCTTTTCTTGACTTCTCACCCATGCTGGCCTCTGTATTAGTCACTGAGCATGAGGTAACCCCCAACCACAGGGCATTTGCACTTACAGAAGCTTTCTTCTCTCAGGATCCGAAAGGCTTGCTTCCTTGCCTCCACTATTCTTGGCTCAAACCTCATGTTCTCAGTGCAACTGTCCTGAAAATTATATTTAAAATTGCAATTTTCTGCCCCAGAACTCCCCATCCTGTTTCTGCTTTATTTTTCTCCATAGCATCTTCTCATATACTATGAAAGTTACTTACTTTGTTTATAGTCCATCTCTCCTCATCTGTTCTCCAAATATAACCCTAAAAAGGCATGGATTTCATGCTTTATGCACTACCCTCGCTCTAGCACTGAGATTACTGCACACTGGATTCAAAATTTTATGTTGAATAAATAAGTACTAACTGGAACTATAGTGGAAAGGGGAGGAAACTATGAATTTGAATTTGGATGCTAGTACAAAGCTGGGTTTAGAGCTTAGGGGAAAGTCAGGATTAGAGATGCAAATTTGGCAACTGTGCATGGAGTGAATCAGCTGATGTTATGGTCACGGATGAGAGAGCTGCAGACAGAGCAAGCTGAAAGGCACAGGAACAGCCAGTGAAAGGGTAGAATGAGTTTCCAGAGTCAAGAGGAATTTCAGGAGTCATCAGTGTCAAGAATGACACTCATCGAAGAGAATGAGGTTAAGGAAAAGTCGTTAGACTTATTAATTACTGAGAGAGCAGTGACGACATGCTGGCGGGTGGGATCCTTTGGTAAAGGGCTATGGAGGGAAGGAACACACAGGAAATAGTGGAGAGCTCCCTGCTTCGAATTGAGGAGTGAAGGGGCCTGTTTGGGTATAGTGGCCAGAAGCAGAATTTCTGGAGTCAGACTCTGGGGCTACCATGCTCTCAACATCTTTCTCCAGTTTCCCAGCTGCAAATTGGGCACAATAACAGCACTGACTCATGTACATTGTGTGAGAATTAAATGAGATAACGCATGGACACAGGAAATGCCACCACAGCGTGTCACCATGTAGTGATGTTTAAGTTTAGGTTTTACTGAGGGATACGGGGGTCATGGGGGGAGGAATGATGAGCCATGAGTTCCTCCTGTGTAAGAGCCAGACAGCAACCACATGAGTCAGGGGCACCGTACCCTGCTCACACATCAGGAGAGGTGGGCGGCCAAGTCAGATTGAGGGAAGGAGGCAACACCAGGGTTTGAAGTCATGTCTTTGTGCCCAAATCTTGACTTTTTCTACCCTATGAAGTTTGGGAAGAGGTCCTTTAAATTCTTCACCTCCTTTCTCAAGGTCACTGGTGTGGGGGGCTGGTGGCTTTGGGGTCTTCAGAAATTTGGGGGTCATTCCCAAGGTAAATCCTGATAGTTGATGACCACAAGTACATCATTCTGGTCAGCTTCAGGGTCCTCTCATGTAAAATGAGAAGAAAAACGGCCAGGCCCCTTACCTCACGGAGCTATTACAAAGGCTCGCATCATCAGAATGATGATGTGTGAGCAAATGCTTTGTAAACTAGGGCACCCTAGGTCAGTATTAGTTATTATCTCATTCCACCCCTCCTCCTCCTACAACCCTTCTCTTCACTGTGGTGATAAACAGTGTTTTCATTTTAAACAATCAGCCATTGACCCAAAGCTCACAGCTAATGGACTTGCCAATGGAGCTAATAATGAAAACATCGATGATTGCAACCTTCATGCTCTCTGCATCTCAGTTTTATAAGAAAGAGGCAATTTCTAATCAAACAAACTCATGCAAAGCTTTCTATTCAAACAAGGGATCCGGTGGGTTCCAGTGACTCCACCCACCTCCAGCCAATTCTCCTAGTGCCCAGAGGGCCCATTAACCTCTAAAGGAGCCCCAACCTCTGAATTTCTACCCTAAAGGCCTGTGGTCATGGAGGGAGAGGAAGGACTGGTGGAGGCATCTTGAAGGCAAGGAGTGGGCAGGTGTGGGGGCACTACTAATACTAATGTCTGTTGATGGGATGGTGGGAGTTGGGGATCTACATGGGAGGCTGGTGTGTTCATCTGTAGAGTTCCCAGGGGAGGCTTTGAGATCCAGAATGGATCTCTAATCCCAAGTCCAAGTAAGAAGAGCCCCTGCCTG